TTGCAGAATATAGGTTGCTGTGAATATTATCTCACTTGGGTTGATTTCTGTGTGCGCGTGAATCCAACAATGAGGGTGTGGATGATTTGTGCTGAGAGAGTGAGGGTGATTTGAGCACAGAGAAAGAGGACTCACAGAGGTAGTGTTATTCGTCGAATGTAGAGAGAGACGACAAGATAAGGCTAACTTCTCTGATGCAACTGTTGAAGAAGAGGAGAAGAGTAGTAACCTAGAGTTCCAAAACGACATCGTTTTGTAACCCGAAACTGTAATTCCTTAAGTCCAAACAACATCGTTTTAATCCACTAAAATAACTATTTAAAAATAAAGAATTCTATGAAAAAATATCATACGCCTTAAAAGAAAAAAAAAAATTGACAATTTTTCTGTGAGAACATAAATCGTTGCAAATTTTTATTTCTTATATTTTTTTATTTTTGTGCATTTGACAAAAATTGCGACTGAAAGATTTCTTTGGTGACAATTTTTTGTCGCCCATAAATTTTGCATTTAGCACCAACATTTGCACCAAAAAATATTTGGAGGTAATGTTTTTGCGAAGCTTTTTAGTAATTATTAAAAAAATTTGTCACCAAAAACGTCATAAAAAATTTTTTCTTTAAAATTGTGCCATCAAATTACTTTTTGGCAACAAATTTTACTAGTCACCGCCAAAATTCGCCAAAATTCGTCGTGGAATAACAATTTTCTTGTAGTGAGGATGGTCTGGCCTATTTCTTGTTGGAATTTTTCTATATTGAACTTTCATTAATTGATAGTTAATTTTAAACTTGTGAAAAATAGGTTGAATTTATGATCCAATGAGATGAGTTCAATATTGTAAATGATCTATTTTGATGAATTTATATACATCTTTTTAATTGATGTTGTTGAAGCGATTAAGTGTAAGTCTTAAGAAGTGTTTGTTAACTCAAATTCAATATTTAAAATTAATGTATTCAACACTTATTAATTAAGGTTGTTTGATACCAAAATTTAAACTCTCTTAATATGTTAAGTGCTCCTTAAATAAAAGATCTCTTACTTAATTCTGAAAACTGAAAACGCTCAGCAAAATCATCTTTAATAATATTTATAATATGACAATTATACCACGAAATATTTTACAATCTTATTAAAACTCTAATTAGTCTTCTCTTTAAAACTCTTAACCTATATATTCTCCTTGTCGAACTCTTTTTTTTTTTTTTTCATTTGTCTTCTGTAACAAAAATATACATATATAATTATAATTACGCACACAAACGCACGCACTGCAATCACANCTATATTATGCATTGTTTTAAAACTTTAGTAGTCATTGATAAACGTTATCCTACTGAACTGGTGAGCACATCCCTATCTAACATTTTTCAAATATATGAAGTCTGGTTGGAGGATAGGCTGAAAGGATGATGAATATAGTCTGCTATTATTATTTCTCTTTAAGTTGTATCAAGAATATTTAAAATGATCTTGTGAAGGATTATGTACTCGTACGCTGAATATAATAATATAAAAAAGGTTATCGTAAGTTCGGTGTAATTTTATTCCTTAATCATGTCCGGGTATTTATTTATTTTTTTTTTTAGAAGAAAAAAAAAATCGGGGCATGACAATAAATATGTCCCATCCTTCTGTAGGGGTTCATTTAATGCGCCCGAATTATGGCTGCGTATGTGAAGGTGCATTTTCGTCATTCACCCCTCAAGGGGTCAAGATTTCAATGCTTCGTACCTCATACACCCTTACTATTGGTTATTGAATTATCTTTCCTGCCATTCTGATTGCTTTGGAAAGGGGGAAACGATGATTAATAGTCAATTCTGCTTCTAAGTGATGATGTTTTATTTGACCTCGATCACTAGCATGCTTGCATCAGCTAACTTTTTCTCCATTTCCTTGAGGACTTAGCAACTTTGGTAGGGGCTAGTCATTAAGACAACTGCCAATACCATGCCAGCGTAGAGGGCTAAACATCAAGGACACGTGTCAAGCAACTGGGACTTTGACAACCTATGTGCTGAAGACAAGTATCAAGCAACTAAGGCCCCGAGAACCCAAGGGCCGAGGAAACATGTCAGGCAGGGAATGTTCTGGGGGGACCTAAACACCAAGGACATGCATTGAGCAGATGACATCTTGGGGGTCATGTACGTCGAGGACACGTGTCCGGCAATTGGAGTTCTGAGAACACTTTGCCGAGTCACTCCATGGCGGCTCCACGTTCACCATGCCAAGGCCAAGGCCACGTGTCGTCTCCCCATCAATCCATGAGAACGTCCCATCATAGCACATGCCTAGAAAACCCTTTGATATGTTTTATTCAAGTTCCTATAACATAGCAATTGACAGTAACCAACTTAGAAGCTTCATATGAGCATTATCTAAATTTGGAGTTGATATATGGAGGCAGGAAGACATCGAGTAAAATGGATGTAGAGCTTTTTGAGAAAGGGGGAATGACTGTCTTTTGTCGTGTGGGTGGGGGACTGTGTCTTCCGTGGGCATTTTTTCGAGCAGTGGTGAGCAAACGGTGGTGATAGGTGTGGGATGGGGGTTGGAGGAGTAGGGGTTGTAGGCTGGTGGGTGGGTTATGGTGATGGTGATGGAGGATGACTGGGAGAGATGGGGCAGAAGAGAGAAAGAGAGATACCTACATTAGGGTGTTGGAGGTCGTCGACCTTATCTATTTGCAGAATATAGGTTGCTGTGAATATTATCTCACTTGGGTTGATTTCTGTGTGCGCGTGAATCCAACAATGAGGGTGTGGATGATTTGTGCTGAGAGAGTGAGGGTGATTTGAGCACAGAGAAAGAGGACTCACAGAGGTAGTGTTATTCGTCGAATGTAGAGAGAGACGACAAGATAAGGCTAACTTCTCTGATGCAACTGTTGAAGAAGAGGAGAAGAGTAGTAACCTAGAGTTCCAAAACGACATCGTTTTGTAACCCGAAACTGTAATTCCTTAAGTCCAAACAACATCGTTTTAATCCACTAAAATAACTATTTAAAAATAAAGAATTCTATGAAAAAATATCATACGCCTTAAAAGAAAAAAAAAAATTGACAATTTTTCTGTGAGAACATAAATCGTTGCAAATTTTTATTTCTTATATTTTTTTATTTTTGTGCATTTGACAAAAATTGCGACTGAAAGATTTCTTTGGTGACAATTTTTTGTCGCCCATAAATTTTGCATTTAGCACCAACATTTGCACCAAAAAATATTTGGAGGTAATGTTTTTGCGAAGCTTTTTAGTAATTATTAAAAAAATTTGTCACCAAAATCGTCATAAAAAATTTTTTCTTTAAAATTGTGCCATCAAATTACTTTTTGGCAACAAATTTTACTAGTCATTGCCAAAATTCGTCATGGAATAACAATTTTCTTGTAGTGAGGATGGTCTGGCCTATTTCTTGTTGGAATTTTTCTATATTGAACTTTCATTAATTGATAGTTAATTTTAAACTTGTGAAAAATAGGTTGAATTTATGATCCAATGAGATGAGTTCAATATTGTAAATGATCTATTTTGATGAATTTATATACATCTTTTTAATTGATGTTGTTGAAGCGATTAAGTGTAAGTCTTAAGAAGTGTTTGTTAACTCAAATTCAATATTTAAAATTAATGTATTCAACACTTATTAATTAAGGTTGTTTGATACCAAAATTTAAACTCTCTTAATATGTTAAGTGCTCCTTAAATAAAAGATCTCTTACTTAATTCTGAAAACTGAAAACGCTCAGCAAAATCATCTTTAATAATATTTATAATATGACAATTATACCACGAAATATTTTACAATCTTATTAAAACTCTAATTAGTCTTCTCTTTAAAACTCTTAACCTATATATTCTCCTTGTCGAACTCTTTTTTTTTTTTTTTCATTTGTCTTCTGTAACAAAAATATACATATATAATTATAATTACGCACACAAACGCACGCACTGCAATCACACAATTACACACAGACATATGCACTGCACACACACACGGCGCACACACATATTGTTAATGAAATCTAATTTATTGTATTTTTCAATATTATTTGATTGTTTATTGGTTTTTTTTTATCAAATGTTATTGTTCACTTATTGTATTATTTAGATGTTATTTATTTATTTTGATCAAATATTTATTAAATGTAGACTACAATATACTAATAGTGATTATAATTTATGTTATGACATATTTTATAAATATTTTTAAATTAAAAAGTGAAAGGATAAAATTAAAAATTAATTTATTTTTAGACATCAACTCTGTGTAGTTATAAAACAATTTAATTCAATTCAATACTTAAATGTCAATGAATACCAAACAGTCCACAAATTTAGTATTCAATTTTCAGACTTCAACTTTCAGATTTCAGCTTACAGACTTCATTTTAAACACCACCATAATCTAATTGTAATCCGTAATAGGAGAGCCCATTTAATTCATTATAAATAACAAGTTAAGTCTCATCTACACTCATACCCTAATTTGAGTTGTCCCATTGAAAGTCACCTATTACTTGGAAGAAATAAAGGAAGAAATGAAACTTGAATTGGGAGAGCTCTTCAAACTCATAAAATAATACAGTCAACACTCCGCATAGATTGAGTCGGATTTTGTTTCTACATCAAACTAAAACCTCCTTTTTGAGCATTTTCCAAAATGTTAAAACAAATCAATGTCCAAAAACAAAATTTCAAAGGGGAAAAACTCAACCAACACCACTAGGATTCACTTGATCAATCGAGGTATTATACATATGGTACATAGGGACCACAGTAGTTTTACATTGGAAATTTAACCACTTCCCGACTTACCAAAGACAATCTCATCATCTATGTTACATTCTTCAAAATGGGAGAAAGGAGGGAAAAAAATAATTATGACCAACTTGCTTTTGCATACCAGTCCAAAATCATGCATCTACCTCCACGAGATAGATTTGGTTTTTCCAATCAGTGATAGATTTGGTTTTTCCAAGCAATGACTTCTTTCACTGGATCTTGGGTTTCTGAATCTTCACATAGGGGAAAAATCCCATTGAGTGCTTTACTTTTGGATCCCATCCCCGTTGTAGAGCACGGCAAAACATCATGAATGTGTTTGCAAAATATGAGTTAAAACCCATAAGGACATGCCACAAAGCATGACCCTGAGGATTAAAGTACCAGGTAGAAATATTCTTGCAGAACAGACGATCACATAGCCAACAANTAAAATAACTATTTAAAAATAAAGAATTCTATGAAAAAATATCATACGCCTTAAAAGAAAAAAAAAAATTGACAATTTTTCTGTGAGAACATAAATCGTTGCAAATTTTTATTTCTTATATTTTTTTATTTTTGTGCATTTGACAAAAATTGCGACTGAAAGATTTCTTTGGTGACAATTTTTTGTCGCCANAAAGACTCCCAAGCAATAAGGTGATCAAGTACAACTTTGCAAGCCGTTTTGCAGATCCATCTTCTGTATGAATGTAATACTTGTACATCCGAGGGATGCAAAGCAGGCAGAGTAACGTATAATGCAGCTTAAAACCAATATCAAAACGGACCTGTGAATGCGCTACTGCAAAAACTGCACCATAAAGGAACAAAAAAGTGGGCATTGTACTCCGGTAATGCCAATCTGGCGAATATAGGATGTAAAGATACAGGAGCATTTCCCACACCATTGGTGTTTCATCAAATTGCTGTTGCCTGAATATAATTTCAAAATCATTCTGAGTCACAAATCACAAAGATAAAATACTAATTGATTGAAAATTATGAAGTCAGTCATCTTTAAACAACTTCTAACTATTGTTTCGACCAGAAGAACACAGAAGATGTTTTCCAAGGTCTGCCACAGAAAAATAACCTATGTATGTGTGCCTAATTTTCAGTATATAGTGTTCAATCCAGTAGACTAAACATGCCAAGAGGCTTAAAAGCAAGGTTGCCAATTGATCGTGTCATAAATCTAAACCATGTAAGTCGTGCCCGCATCAAAAATTGCTCAACCCACACCCAACCCACTTATAGTCGTGTATAGCCGGGCTCATGTCATGGCAGAGTCATGTTTAGCTATGTTCTTGCTGTGTTTAACTGGCTTGTGGTTCATCATGTATGTAACGATTCTTGTGGGTAAGCCATTTATGACCTGAATCTATTGTGACAGAAATCATACCTACTAGCTTTGGGTCAGATTGACAGATTTGTGTAAATAACTGACTGCTCTGCTTAGAAGACAACATGCAGATGGACAATGAGTCATCATTGACATCATAAAAACTAACATGTAGTGTGTCAATCGAGTCACGTCGTGCACAAATTGCTTCATTTACGGTTTGGGTAGTACTACCGAACCCTAACCCAATCTAAAACTAAGACCCCTTTCTTCTTAAACCAAAGCCACCACTCAAAAAACCATTACAAACTAAAAATCCACTCAATTCATATGCTAGCAAAACCAAGTAAAGAACCCTCTAATTCTAAAAAGATTCATGTATCATCAGATAAAGAAATGCAAGAAACATTATAAAAATGGACATTTTATTCATACAATTTAGAATCAGTTTTTATGTCAAAATTGGATTATTTGTACCTGAAATTAAATCATAGTGTCTTTTTCAGATTCTAGTCAAGAACTAGTCAATTATTACCTGCTAATTTATATCATCGAGGTTAATTTCTTGGGTAAAGAAATTACCATCCTTTAGCCAAGTGCAGTAAAACTATTTTCGGAGGCTGTGGAAAAATATAGAATAGGGAGTAAGAGGGACCTTTGCTTCATTAAAAATTAGGCACAGACCTGCTACAAAGTTACAAACTACACAGAATTCCTATATTCTTTGCATTGACAGCATTGACCTTGACACCTAAAATATTGTTAGTGTTCTTATTTTCTTATTTTTCTATATTGAGTCATGAGTTAATTAGTGTAGGGTAATATTGTAATTACCCTAAACATTGCTTAATTATAAAAAAGAAGGTGTAGGGCAACAGANCAAACTACACAGAATTCCTATATTCTTTGCATTGACAGCATTGACCTTGACACCTAAGATATTGTTAGTGTTCTTATTTTCTTATTTTTCTATATTGAGTCGTGAGTTAATTAGTGTAGGGTAATATTGTAATTACCCTAAACATTGCTTAATTATAAAAAAGAAGGTGTAGGGCAACAGAGCCTCTACAAAACAGATTATTCTTTCTTGCCTTCCTTTCCCTTCACTTCCTTTCTCTCTTTATATACTTCTTTCTATCCCTAATATTATTTTGTTCTATTTCAACTAGTATGTCATGCAGATGAGGCAATCTGTAAACCAAAAACCATTTCTCTCTCTTTCTTTTTTTTTTTTTTTTTTTTTTGTTTTTGACAAATTTATCCAAGGGAACCCAGGGGTGTACAATCTTTGTAATTACTGTATAANTTTTTTTTTTTTTTTTTTTTTTTTTTTTTTTGTTTTTGACAAATTTATCCAAGGGAACCCAGGGGTGTACAATCTTTGTAATTACTGTATAACAGATGCACAAAGCCACCACTCAAAATCCTTTACAAACTATAAATCCACTCGATTATATGCCAGCAAAACCAAGTAAAGAACCCTCTAATTCTAAAAAGTTTCATATAATACCAATTCAAGAAATGCAAAAAACAAAAAAATTATAGAAATGGACATCATATTCATACAAGTTAGAAGTTTTTCATGTCAAAATTGGATAATTCATACTTGACACTAAATCGTAGTGTCTTTTTCAGATTCTTGTCAAGAACTAGTCACTTATTACATACTAATTTCATATCATTGAGGTTAATTTCTTGAATAAGAAGTTACCATCCTTTAGCCAAGTGTAGTAAAACTAATTTAGGAGAGGCTGTAGAAAGCTATAGAATAGGGAGCAAGGGGGACCAATACAACATTAAAAATTGGCACAGACCTGCTACAAAGTTAAAACTACAAAGAATTCCTATTTTCTTTGCATTGACCACATAGATCTTGACACCAAAACTATGTCATGCAGATGAGGCCGTCTTTAAACCAAAACCATTTCTCTCCCTCTCTCTCTCTCTCTCTCTCTCTCTCTCTCTCTCTCTCTTATTTTTTTCACAAATTCAGCGAAAGGAACCCAAGGGTGTACAATATGTGTAATTGGTGTATAACAGATACACGATCACCCCCCACCCCCCAAAAAGAAAAAACAAACAAAACAAAACAGTTCCTCTAATATCCCATTTATTGCCTCTAGTAACCCAAATTGACAAGAGCATCAACCCTTTCAAATCAAAGATATGTTCAAGCAAGTAAGCATGATTCTCTTCACCTTCTAAACCAATAGGTACAAAAATAAAAACCCGACATTGCAGGCCTTCACGGATCCAAGCCAGAGACTGAACTATGAGGTACTTCAAATTTTAAAAATTTTCATTGTCCCCCCTATATTTTTAGAAAGTTTTATTGTTAACCTCTAGCTTTTCAAAACACCCAATGTTTAAGTATCTCTCTTAATGTATTTAAAAAGATCAATGACTTAATATTTAGTTACCATTTAAAATGTAATCATATGGACGAGTGTCGCTTGTCTAGACGAAGACAAATGTTAGATTATTTTGACCACATAGAGGAAAAACAAGTGACTTTTTTTTAAAAAAAAAAAAAAAAAAANTAATCATATGGACGAGTGTCGCTTGTCTAGACGAAGACAAATGTTAGATTATTTTGATCACATAGAGGAAAAACAAGTGACTTTTTTTTAAAAATAAAAAAAAATAGAGACACAAATATAATTTATATCAAAAGCAATTCGTTGACTTTTAATTCATTTTTATTATGGTATCATATAAAACTATTATTTACAACACTGATTTATTTATAGACATAAGGTTAAATTATAAACAGGAAAAAAAATAGGACGATAACATTATCACAAATGATTTTTTATGATGGCATGAACCAATTTTTGCGTTTTGTGATCAAAAATAAATTTTTTGATGTTATTGCAAAAAAATTAAATTTAACAAGTTCTTTACAAAAAAAAAATTTATCATTGACAATGGCCGTTGAATAACCCCATTAAATTAAATATGTCATTGTTATTCATCTCAAGATAAAATCCTGATTCCATCCCTAATCGAAACAACACAAGAAGAACCCCACACATATATATAGGGCCTGAACACAACTCAAGCGACATTAGAGGATATAAGGTCTGCATTTTTTTGCACATGCAACACCAACTCAGTAGCATATTTCCTCTTTCCAAATAATCATCAATGATTAATAGTCACCCCCAGCCCCAGCACACCCAATGATTGAAAAAACCACCTTGGCGGCACATTAGCACTCCATATGCCCTTCCAAGGGAAGCTAGAAGTGCCCCTACACCAGTCCAACACCTCAACAACAAATAACCTCGAATCTCCAGCCTTTCCATCGGACCTCAGCATACTTCCTGCCCCCTCCAATGGAAAGACCAAATTGGGTTCAAATGTTCCAAATTTACTCCTTTTTTATCCCCCCAAAAAAGAGTGCTTTACATATTCTGTCATTACTACACATGGCAGAATCTAAATATGAATGTCACAAAAAGAATTTGGAAACAAGTTCATGCAAACAATCTTTACCAAAACCTACACATTAACATGTGGCAATCTTTCATGAAAAACAAAAGAAAAACACGTGGTAGTCCTGATGAATGGGCAAGTCTCGATGGGTATATGATGCAGAATGATAGGATATTAAACCCAAAAAACAGAAGTGTACAGCCATACACACATTTTGTTCGACATACAAGGTTTCAATATATGATCTTTCCAGGAAAAAAACACCACTGCATATCATGAAGTAGAATCATACCCAATTTTTCCTCACTCCCAAAAATTTAAATTAGATAAGATGAACTGCAAATAGAAATTGAAAAAAATTCAAGACTGCTCAAAACTGTGTATAAAAGAGCATCAAAGGTGAATGCTAATGAACAAACTCTCCTTATATGCCCAATATATGCTCTAACAGCAAAATCCAATCAGCGTCTGTTATAAGCCTTCAGAGAAATGGTTGAATTCTGCTGTTTCNCTCAAAACTGTGTATAAAAGAGCATCAAAGGTGAATGCTAATGAACAAACTCTCCTTCTATGCCCAATATATGCTCTAACAGCAAAATCCAATCAGCGTCTGTTATAAGCCTTCAGAGAGAAATGGTTGAATTCTGCTGTTTCCTATAAAAATTATACTTCAGCCTTTTTTTTTCCTGACACTGATCAGCCTCTACACATATATGCTAGAAAGAGAAAAGGCCGAAGAGTTTTAGGAAATACTTTGGTCAGTGGAATTCTCACTGTGGAAAGTATCTATTTTCGCTTAGGTTTTGCCCCTATATAAGCCAGTCTCATTGAGACAATAACTAAATAAGAGTCTCTGCAGACTTTGCTCTCTTTAATGGTGAAACTCCATGAAAGTTTCTTCTGGGTGAGATCCTAGAAGGCCGCAGTGATACTCTAGGTTTTCTATCTTTCTTTTCTGCTTGATACTCTAGGTTTTGTATCGTTCGTTTCTGCTTAGGTTTTATTTTCAACGTAGCACTTTCCGTAAGAATGTTTACCATAGCACTGAATAAACAAGAATCGTCACCAGCCCAACAATCAGAACATACTTAGTCCTACAACCCTAACTTTTTGATCCAAAAACAAAAACTCTAACCCATCCAAAATTAGCCTTAAAACTCAACCATTATATCCAAATCCGTTCTTATATCCTATACTACATTCTTAACCATAAACTCAATATTTAGAACCCTAGCCAACCAAATCAGATGCAGAATAACCCTAATTCCTTTATTTAAGTCTCTGACCAGCACCAGATTCTTTTCTCAAAACTTGTGTGCTGATCTAATGTTATGCAGTTGACTTGCCTTTCTTGGGCACGGACACTTTTCACTTATATTTATTTATTCTTTAAAAACTAGTATTCAATGAAAATTTTTTGTGATTGAAAGCAACTATATAAGGAGAGATAAGACAAGGGATTTTAAATAAATACTTACACTTGCTGCAACGTGGCATGATACATCATGCTTCCAATGGCAAGAATCATATTCGATATGTGAAGGACACTAAACCTTTTCTCAAATCGTTGTCTCAAGGCATTTACAAGACCAATGAGTGCCAAAAGAATGAAGGAGATATTTGAGATAGTGTTATAGAACTCTGCAATATAGGAAGAGTAGACATAGTTCTGCTCACACCACTCAGTGTTAGCTGTGACAGGGCCCCAGAAACTTGGTAAGCCATCTGCCATTCCCCAATATGTACGACCAGAGTGTATTGTAGATCAATCAAAGCAATTTATGTCAAGATGCTGCTACTAGGTCAATAGATTGCAAATTTCAAGCCTGTAAATCAACGTACGTANCCAGAAACTTGGTAAGCCATCTGCCATTCCCCAATATGTACGACCAGAGTGTATTGTGGATCAATCGAAGCAATTTATGTCAAGATGCTGCTACTAGGTCAATAGATTGCAAATTTCAAGCCTGTAAATCAACGTACGTGCAACTGAAAACAAATTAAACTATCAGTATATTTCCAAATGACATTTTTCCAAAGAATAGGCATATGATAGATTACTGATTTCGAAATAGTTACGTTATCGGCAGAAGAAATAGTATACTTCAACTGAAGTTCAATTCTCACATGACTAACAGAGAGTAACCGACAAGAAAAAAAAAATGGCATCTTGATGATTACCATCGTAGTCATCACCATTAGAAACTTATCCAAGCTAAATTGGAACAACCAAATCATCTCTAAAAATGGTAAAAGTTTATAATCAATAACTACTTATTCAATTCACGGTAAACAAGAAAGATTCATGTACCTTACAAACTCAAATTTCACAAGACTTTTAACATGGGCCACACAACATAATGCTTCATTTTCTACAAAGCCTTTGAAGTTTGAACCATTTTAGTCTTTTTGATGTAGTTTCCACGCTTTTTAAAATAAGCAAATAAGGAGAGGAAAATAATTTTTGGATAGATGTTAAAAAAAGCAATCTCCACTACCTTACTAGTAGGTGGAGAGCTAGATGGTCACACCACAGATATAGCACATGTAGTACAAGATATCAATTACAAAGTGTGAAAATTAATGCAGCGCACAGACACAATGTGACCAAACACCCCCATTGGATACAAACACAACATAAGCAATATAAGTTTCATATAAAAGAACAGCATATAAAAAGTAAACAGCTTAAAATAAGTATAATGTTATTCTATGTTTATAATATGAGATTACTAACTCATGAATCGTGATAATCAATAATCAGTAATCACCCATGTTGAACAAACAGACAACACAGAGGCACAACTCATGCATAAGGGTACGTATTGTGATGCATAAGTCTATATAGTTATAACTTATAAGCGCATATATTAGGATGACTCCTCTCCTCTTCCCATTCTCATTATTGTGCAAATACAAACCTTTTGCTTACTTTTAGCTATCATGCTTATCAATCATCAACAATATCTCCTTCAGCTCAAGGCTTAAATAATTCCTAAATCACAATACAATATTAGAAAGATGGATTCAGTTTCAAAAAAACTTGATCCAAATTGGCTTATGAATGCACACTTAGCACCAAAGTACATTTCAGTGAGTCAGAGGCCGCAATAAATGGCTTCTACAGAGGTGAACATTTAGTCATCACATTGCAGCAAAAACTCAGGAATCACTGCCTTGGACTAAAACCACAACGTGGTTCAAATACGAAGGGATCACTTTGTACAAAATAAAGACTTTACCCAGCCAATCCGTCCTAGCACTCTTGGTTAACAGTGACCAACTAGGTAACGGTAAACCTCACATAGACATTACCCAAAAATAACAAAGCACAGCGCATCAAAAAGCCTTGAAAACAAGACTATTTCAATAAAAAATTCAAACCCATATCGAAACTTTTAACTTTCGGAAATCTTAACTGAAAAAAGTTAAGTATCAGTCCACACACTGATACACATACATTACACAATTTTCACAAATCACAGAGCATCAAAAAGCCTTGAGAACAAGACTGTTTCAATAAAAAAAATCCAAACCCATATCGAATTTTGAGTTAGAAAATTGAGCGGAAGCCCAACAACTTNTTCACAAATCACAGAGCATCAAAAAGCCTTGAGAACAAGACTGTTTCAATAAAAAAATCCAAACCCATATCGAATTTTGAGTTAGAAAATTGAGCGGAAGCCCAACAACTTGAGAGAGAGAGAGAGAGAGAGAGAGAACTAACCTTCCAAGTCAGATCTACGCTGCCCCCATTCAAATCACAAGCTTTCTCTCTCTAACACAAGACTCCTATCTCTCTCTCTCTCACGGTGGAAGAGTAAATGTGAGTGCATATATACTCAATGGAAAAGTTGTCTTCAGTTCTTTCTCTCTCTCCACTTTGCAACGATGGGGAGGCAAGGAGAATCGTATAAGTTTCAAAAGGAAACAAAGTTCCGAAGCAGGTTCGTTAAAGCCTATCGGAAGGTTCTTATTATGGCTTTTGCGCGTGGGAGGAACAAATGACTCGAAGTGTGGGTCGGCATTGACATGCGTGAGAAGACNGCAACGATGGGGAGGCAAGGAGAATCGTATAAGTTTCAAAAGGAAACAAAGTTCCGATGAAGGTTCGTTAAAGCATATCAGAAGGTTCTTATTATGGCTTTTGCGCGTGGGAGGAACAAATGACTCGAAGTGTGGGTCGGCATTGACATGCGTGAGAAGACCAGTGTCCGTTGGATCAACATGATTTGCGGTTGAGATTGTTTTGGTCAGATCCTCTACATTGATTGGAGAAATTAATTTCACGCCACTTAAAGGTGGCGTGCTGTATACGCTTAGGTCCATTTTAATATTTTATGAACCCTAGGAAGGAACCGTTTTGATGGGTTGTTTTTATTTTTATTTTTTCCTGATTGTTTTAATCAACGATCAAATTTTCGTTTCCAAATGATTGAAATATTTTTTNTATTTTATGAACCCTTGGAAGGAACCGTTTTGATGGGTTGTTTTTTTTTTTTTTTTTCCTGATTGTTTTAATCAACGATCAAATTTTCGTTTCCAAATGATTGAAATATTTTTTGTTTTTAAAGAGATCGAAATGAATTAGTGATATAATTAAAACTATAGTATTTTGAAGTATTTTGTAATGTTTTCGATGTAATTATAATATTATTTTTGAATATTTCAAAGTATTTTAGAATATTTTTGTATATTTTGACTAGTGTTTTAAGAAAATAATTTTTAAAATTTTTATTGGTATTCATTTTATTTTTGAAACAGATCAAAATATTTTTTGTTTCTGAACATAATACACTGAAATAAAATTTTAATCATTAATTTTGATGGGTTTGGAAAAACCACTCTGCCCCAATCTGCCCCTCAAGTGAATCTCAAATGAGTTTGAAATATCGGATAAGTAGGAACAAAAAAAAAAGTCACCTCATGCACTAATCCAAGGGTTTAGACCCATTTGAATGTTATATACTTACTAATTTTTTCTTATTAATATTCATTAATGAAAATTGTGTCACATCATTTAAGATGAAATTTTATCAACTTAATGTTATATACGAAATATAAATTCAGACGTCTTGAGTTCAAATATTGGCAATTCACTAGGACTAAGTCATGAGTGATTTATTCTTTATGAATACTTTAGTCATTGCGTAAATGACCTACTTTTGACCAAACTAGGAAAAAAAATTAATCCATGTGTGTATAAGTTAGTCCGAATATTCTGGAGGGTTGAAAAAAAAAATTTAATACCACACAACTCAATTCACAATTATAATAATAATGCCTCAAGTTTCTTCAGGTTTGAATTAAAAGTACTCATAGAATAATAGCCAGATCTTGTCATCTGGATATAACTAGGAGTAACTCATGTCTGAAGGTACGGTGCAATATGAATATTTTTTAGAGGAATGTTGATGGGCGTTGGATGAGTTTATTTGAGACCGTCAGATGAACTTATTGAAACATACCCTATTTTTCATCTAAGAGCAATTTCAAATGCAGTTGTCATTTTTGGGGTGTCAAATGTCATTTTGTAATCTTAAACAACGTTTTGGCACCCTTGAATTATAAATCTGCTCCAATGGTAGATGTCAAAATGGGTTGCCATGACTCTTTTGCTAATCGTAGTAGAGTTGAAGGTCATGAAAGATTTTATCGTGACTATTTTACTACTCTTTGTGTATATGAAGGTTTTTTTCGAAGGAGATTCTGAATGAATCATTCTCTTTTTCTTCAAATTGTAAATGAGGTTGAACAACACGATCCATACTTTGTCCAAACAACAAATGTCGTTGGAGTTCTCGGTTTGTCATCCCTTCAGAAGATAACAACTGCTTATAAAATTTTTGCTTACGGAACACCGACAGATTCTGTGAATGAATACATCAGAATTGGAGAAAACATTGTTATACAGAGCCTGAAAAAGTTAGTGAAAGCTATTATTGCTACGTGGCTTTCCCGACATGTTAGGAAGTATTGATTGTATGCATTGGAAGTAGAAAAATTGTTCTACCGCGTGACAAGGTATGTATACTGGTCATTGTCACGAACCAACAATCATTTTGGAAGTTGTGGTNTATACTTACTAATTTTTTCTTATTAATATTCATTAATGAAAATTGTGTCACATCATCTGAGATGAAATTTTATCAACCTAATGTTATATACGAAATGTAAATTCAGACGTCTTGAGTTCAAATATTGGCAATTCACTGGGACTAAGTTATGAGTGATTTATTCTTTATGAATACTTTAGTCATTGCGTAAATGACCTACTTTTGACCAAACTAGGAAAAAAAATTAATCCATGTGTGTATAAGTTAGTCCAAATATTCTGGAGGGTTGAAAAAAAAAAATTAATACCACACAACTCAATTCACAATTATAATAATAATGCCTCAAGTTTCTTTAGGTTTGAATTAGAAGTACTCATAGAATAACAGTCAGATCTTGTCATCTGGATATAACTAGGAATAACTCATGTCTGAAGGTACGGTGCAATATGAATATTTTTTAGAGGAATGTTGATGGGCGTTTGATGAGTTTATTTGAGACCGTCAGATGAACTTATTGAAACATACCCTATTTTTCATCTAAGAGCAATTTCAAATGCAGTTGTCATTTTTGGGGTGTCAAATGTCATTTTGTAATCTTAAACAACGTTTTGGCACCCTTGAATTATAAATCTGCTCCAATGGTAGATGTCAAAATGGGGTGCCATGACTCTTTTGCTAATCGTAGTAGAGTTGAAGGTCATGAAAGACTTTATCGTGACTATTTTGCTACTCTTTGTGTATATGAAGGTTTTTTTCGAAGGAGATTCTGAATGAATCATTCTTTTTCTTCAAATTGTAAATGAGGTTGAACAACACGATCCATACTCTGTCCAAACAACAAATGTCGTTGGAGTTCTCGGTTTGTCATCCCTTCAGAAGATAGCAGCTGCTTATAAAATTCTTACTTACGGAACACCGACAGATTCTGTGAATGAATACATTAGAATTGGAGAAAACATTGTTATACAGAACCTAAAAAAGTTAGTGAAAGCTATTATTGCTACGTGGCTTTCCCGATATGTTATGAAGTATTGATTGTATGCATTGGAAGTAGAAAAATTGTTCTACCGCGTGATAAGGTATGTATACTGGTCATTGTCACGAACCAACAATCATTTTGGAAGTTGTGGTTTCTCAAGATCTTTGGATATGACATGCATTCTTTGGGTTTATTGGTTTGCTGAATGACATAAATGTTCTAAATAGGTCCCCTGTTTTTGCATCATTAGCAAATGATCATACTTCTCCAATCAACTATATAATTAATGGCCATGAATATACAATGGGATATTATTTAGCTGATGGTATTTATTCAAATTGGTTGACATTTGTAAAACAATTCCCTATCCACAAGGTTTGAAAAAAAAATATTTTGCTAAAGCACAAGAGTCGGTAAGAAAAAATGTAGCGGGTATTTGGGATATATCAAGCATGTTTTGCAATCGTGCATGGACCTATCTAGAACATTATGAAAGCGTGCATAATAATACATAATATGGTCATTGAGGATGAAGGAGATATTGATAACAATGACTTTGATGGAAATGATGCAAATCCGCCTGTAGAAGTGTCGCATGCGTATACACCAAGACTTCATGCAAATCCATTGTTAGATCAGGGATAATGTAACTCATTCTCAGCTTCAATCAAATCTTATCGAACATTTGTGGGAATGACATGGTGACTAATAATTTTCTCAATTTCAATTTTTAAGTTGTATTTTCAATTTCAAATTGTACTTTCAACACATAGTTTTTCATAAATAATAGCAACATAATAAATAATGACTAAAAATTAAAAAAAATTTGTCAAATTGCGAATACATCTACAAAAAAAATATATAATCAAAAAAAAGTTTTTAATAAAATTTTTTTGTCGAATTTTCTAAAATGGAGCATATTGCTATTTTTTGTTTGATTAATAATGTAATATGACAATACAAAAAAATTTAATATATAAATTGAGAATACAAAAAAAATTTTGGGGTACAAGGTGTCATTTGTCCTCAAATAAATACTACCAACAAGGCAAATTGGGGGTAATCGATCANACAAAAAAATTTAATATATAAATTGAGAATACAAAAAAAATTTTGGGGTACAAGGTGTCATTTGCCCTCAAATAAATACTACCAACAAGGCAAATTGGGGGTAATCGATCAGACCCTACCCCGTCAGTGATTCAACCATCAGACATTACCCCCAGGCCTCCTTCCCCTTCCCCTTCCCCTTCCCCTGCTCTCTCTGCGCCTCCTTCCCCAGTGAAGTTACAACATATACCCAGTAGAAATCAACGATTTTTAGGAAAACAATTTTCAGGCAAACCTCTCTCGATTTTCAGTAGTAGACACCAATGGATTTTTCAGGCAAACCTCCTTTCCCTTTCCCTTTCTCTATATTTTTATAGATTTTTTTGGTTGAATATAGTCGTTGAGAAAGAACAGTAAACACCAGTTGCTCTTTTGCAACCTCCACTTTCTCTCTCCAGAGTTTGCAAATTTGTCACCCCAAGTCCATATGTGTCATTTTGCAACTCTTGATGTCACCCCCCTTAGAATGAAAATTTTTGATTTTGGGGTGGCATTTTGACAGTTAAGGTTTTGCCACCCTTGATGACACCTACAGTTGGAGTTGCTCTAACTATCTTAACTTTCTCTCAACCACATTTGATCATCAATAATTTCTCCTCAATTACATTTCTCATCTATTACATTTGGCCACATAAGATTAATCAAATTCTAATTCTTTCTCACTTTCTGATCTTTCTCTTTCTTATCTGTACATGGGCACCATGTTTGCACTGCCCCTAGTATTTAAAAAGTTTGCATAATTCAGTTACAATTTTTTATTTTTTTTGTCATTGAACTTTAGTGTACTCGGTCTGAATTCAATTACTAAAAAAAAATCAATTCTTAGACATTATCAAATATTATGTAGAATCACACCATATTTGGTGTCAGACATTCAGTTTACTATAAACAAGTTTAAATTAACTAAAAAATTTGAACAAAAATAAGATTGATTTTTATAAATTAAATTGAAAATAAGTATACGCTTGTCAATTTTTAACTTATTTGGAAGTGTGTAAATTCTATTCGGCCTCCCTGTGAATTCAAAGGTTTACAGATACCCAATGACTTTTTGACACATCAATAAGACAATAACAAAAAGGCAAAAACACTTCAACACTAACTTAAATTGGTTTGCAAGCAATAAATTGGGTCTCACTTTGCACTAACTATGGTTAACTCAAAGTGGTTCAGTTGACCCACACAAATAAAGAGCAAGAATGAAAGAATCAGTCGTTTTCAACCCCAAATATGTGTCTTCTTTGAAACCGTTGAACTTCATGTTCTTCGGCATCCTCCAGCTTCATCAAAAAATATAATGTTGGGATCTTACCTACACTCAAAATCCAGTGTTCAACCAGAGCCAGGGGCCAAAACTGCAAAGCAAATATCTCAACACACCGAATGCTTTTAAAAGTGACAAACTTCACAACCATTCTCTGTCAAATANCACTCAAAATCCAGTGTTCAACCAGAGCCAGGGGCCAAAACTGCAAAGCAAATATCTCAACACACCGAATGCTTTTAAAAGTGACAAACTTCACAACCATTCTCTGTCAAATAGGTGATAAAGCACATTTGTAAATTTGCGAAAAGACCCACTAGATGGATTCTTATCTTTAGTCAAATGTTCAAGAAAGAGAAGGTTATTGCTAGTTGTGCGGGATGATTTTTCCACAATAAATAAATAAAAAGAGCTCTCTCCCTTGGTGAACTCGTGTTTACCTCGAAAGTCGATGATCCAATGGCAAAGGAATGGCCAAAAGTGGCTTAAGGAGTGGTGATGAGTNAAAAGAGCTCTCTCCCTTGGTGAACTCGTGTTTACCTCGAAAGTCGATGATCCAATGGCAAAGGAATGGCCAAAAGTGGCTTAAGGAGTGGTGATGAGTTTGGCCTTTAGGCTATCCAATTGATGCCAGCGAGCTGGAGTATTTTTCGACGTATCTTGGCACTCAAAAGAAGGGTTATAAGGGCGTCGGAGTGTTTCCGACGTATTCCCTCCGACGGTCAAGTCAGTTCTTTGAGAAAGGGAAAGAAAAAAATACTATTTGGTATTCTGGTCTTCATTTTTGTACCTTTGCTTTGCATTTGTGAGAGTTATTTATACTTTCATGGAGGTAATCATTGCGGACAGGTGGGTCCCTTGGAGAAGAAGCCCCTCAATGGTCATTTTGGAAGGCAGCCTATGGAGCACAGTCCTAGGGCAGAGTGCCTTTCTTGTCACACAAAAAGAAATCTCTGCATTTAATGCTTGGATTCCCAAGCATTTAATGCACTCCTCCTGAAGTCTGTCAAGCAATAAACGTGTCACATCCTTCTGAGGGATCATTTAATGTCTTTCATTGTGGTTGCGCATACGCTGGGGCATTTGCGTCCTTTGCCATCCAAGAGGTCACATCGTTTGGACTTCGTACTTTGTGGACTCTCTCTATTGGTCACTAGGTTGCCTATCTTGTCATTCTGACTACCTTGGGAAAAAGTTTTGATGATTAAAAGCCACCCCACCTCTGATGTGGTGATGTCATTCTTGACTTTTCTAAGAACTTCATTATTCGCCATGGCATAAGTTCCAAGGTGACCGCCAACACCTTGGTGAAGTGGAGGTTTAGACGTTGAGGACACGCATTGGATGGAGGTCTCCTCAGGAAACTTTGGGATCCGAGGACAAGTGTCACGTGATGAAGACTCTGAGGTACCTTTAGAGCCGATGACAAGTGTCACTTGTAAGAAGCTCCAAGGTGCTTTAGTGCCGAGTTGACATGTCATGTGGAGAGTGCTCCGCGGACAACATGTCGAGGACTCAACAAACAGCATGTCGATGACTCTGAGTTGCTTTTAGTGCCGAGGTCACATGTTATGTGGAGAGTGCTCTGCGGACAAGATATCGAGGACTCCGTAGATAACATGTCAAGGATTTCGTGGACAACATGTTGAGGACTCTGAGGTGCCTTTAGTGCTAAGGACACATGTCACTCACAGGAAGCTTTTAGGTGCCTTTATCGCCGAGATGACATGTCATGTGGATATTGCTATGAGAACTCCGCGGACAACATGTCAAAGACTCCACGAACAACATGTTGTGGACTCTGAGGTGCCTTTAGTGCCGAGGACACGTGTCACTCGCNGCGCCTTTAGTGCTGAGGATACATGTCACTCACAGGAAGCTTTCAGGTGCCTTTATCGCCGAGATGACATGTCATGTGGATATTGCTCCGAGAACTCCGCGGACAACATGTCAAAGACTCCACGAACAACATGTTGTGGACTCTGAGGTGCCTTTAGTGCCGAGGACACGTGTCACTCGCATGAAGCTCCAAGGTGTCTTTAGCACCAAGGTGACATGTCATGTGGATAGTGCTCCGCTCACAAGATCTCGAGGACTCTATAGATATTCAGAGAACACTCCGTAGACAATATGTCGAGGACACGTGTCTCATCCCCCTTGAGCACAGAAAATGTCCCATCACTAGCAATAAATTCAAGGCTTCAATNTGCAGATATTCAAAGAACACTCCGTAGACAATATGTCGAGGACACGTGTCTCATCCCCCTTGAGCACAGAAAATGTCTCATCACTAGCAATAAATTCAAGGCTTCAATCACCATTTATGTTACAGAATATTTGCNTATAGATATTCAGAGAACACTCCGTAGACAATATGTCGAGGACACGTGTCTCATCCCCCTTGAGCACAGAAAATGTCCCATCACTAGCAATAAATTCAAGGCTTCAATCACCATTTATGTTACAGAATATTTGCATTCACCACATTTACAAAATAAAAGAAAATGACAAATGAAATTATAGTTGGACGGTTGAATATTATCGCTCCAAAGAAGATGAAGTTTAATGGTCCAAAGACTCCAAACGATCATTACCTTGTTTTTTTAACCCTAACCATGTTGCATTAACTAGTGTTGGTGGGTATAGAAGTTTGGTGGCAGTTCTTATTTTTCTAGTTACGTTGCTAATGTGTCAAAATTGGGTATCCATAAACCTTAGGATTCACATGGAGTCCAAATAGAATTTATACCCTATTTGGAATAAGTTAACAATAGGGCATAATTTGTCCAAATGAAAAATTAATAGGACTTAATATTGTTTAAGGAAAGTGTTAGATCACATTTGTAATTAACTAATTTCATGGAGTCGGTTATAATGCTCAACTTTTTCGTTGTCATGATGCTATCAAGTTTAAGATCCGAAAACGTTATTGAAGAAANTTATGGAGTCGGTTACAATGCTCAACTTTTTTTCGTTGTCATGATGCTATCAAGTTTAAGATCCGAAAACGTTATTGAAGAAAGAAGATCAAGCGTCAAAGTAATATCATTTAACTTCTGTATGCACATTCACGCTTAGAACATCATGCTTAGAACAAAGTAATGACCTAGACACCTAAGATGAACCTTAATTATTTTTAACTTAGGTTGATTAAGATGAAAATGGAATTGGAAGTAATCCAATGATGACTTTTAGATGATTTTAAACAAAAGTTTTTTAAACTATTAATGAATTTTAAAAATATAGATTGATTCATAATCAGACCTTTCTTTGAGCAACATCGTTTAGTGCTCAAAATGACTAATTTTTGTTTAATTTTGTGCTTAAAAAACCAATAGGGGCCGAGCTATGCTCACTAACCTTGACTAGGTTGGTCTCTTGATAACTCAAGAAATTAGATGAGAAAAGGCCACAAAAGACAGCACAGAACTCACTCCATGAGCTCACTCGAGTTGTCTTTCATGGTCGCTTAAGTGGTGTTTATGGTCGCTCGAGCGGTGCATGCCTTAGTCAGGATTGAAACGTGATTTTCATTTCAGAAACAACTGCCCTATGACCGCCCTCCTACCAATCGAGCGATCGTTCGTGAATTTGAGTTTTCTTATTTATTAAGATTACTCTTATTCCATATCTATAAATAGGGAGAACCTTTCATACAATTAAGTCAAGTCTCTTATGAGATTTCTAAGAGAGAAAATATTTTTTCTGCCTTGAGAGCTTCCACCACAACTTAGATCCTTAAATCTAAAGGTTGCCATTAGAGATTCTACCCAACATCACAAGTTGGAGAAGAAGATCTTGTTGGTGATAAATTCATTAGTGTGTGCATATCAGAAATCGTTAGTGTATCCATGATTACTTGAGGCCTAGACAAATCGTGTGGCCGGGAAGTCCAACTGAAGTNGGAGAAGAAGATCTTGTTGGTGATAAATTCATTAGTGTGTGCATATCAGAAATCGTTGGTGTATCCATGATTACTTGAGGCCTAGACAAACCGTGTGGCCGGGAAGTCCAACTGAAGCTACACTAGAAATTGAAGGAGGGCTTTTGGTAGAGAGACAACAAAGAAAAATAATCAAACCATAGTATTAGCTGAGGTATAAAACTCGAGTACTTGTATGTTGACTTAAAAAGTAGTGGATTAGGCTTTGAAGAATCGAAAAAGTTCCCCGAAATTTTTCCTGATGAGGATTTTTCGCATCAACAAATCACTTGTGTTCTTTACTATTTATTATACACACTTGTAATTATGAGCACGCCNCCCCGAAATTTTTCCTGATGAGGATTTTTCGCATCAACAAATCACTTGTGTTCTTTATTATTTATTATACACACTTGTAATTATGAGCACGCCTGTGTACTATGTGTTTTTTGATTTGATTGATTGATAATCTATTCAACCATAGTTGTGTAAATTGAATTTGAATTTTTGGGATCGTCGTGAGATTGATTGTTAAGCGAATTAATTCAATATTAATTAAAATTAATCGTCATGGTTAAGTTGGTTGTGATGATTAAAAGGGTTCTCACTATTTATTGATTAATTTGTGTGAGAAGAGGTAATTGTGGTAATTTAAGTTTTTTTAGTAATCAATTTTGCGTTAAATTAAAAAACATATTTACCCCCTTTAGATAAAGTGTCTATTACTCCACGTATATAATCGTGAGCAAAGATTGATATTGAATTTCTTCTCTCAGAAAAAAAAAAAGAAAAGATAGTATTATGTATAACTTTTCCTAATTTCTCTTGTTCATCTTGTCTGAAATCCAAATGGCCTTAACAAAAAATGATAGTGTAATAAAAAAATATTGGACAAACTTCATTTATCCCCTTATAATTTATCCATTATGTCCATCCTCCCCCTCACCCGGGCCCGCGCGGGGTGCGCTTAAAATCACATAATTTGTGGACTTAAGTGCCTTATTATAATTGTTGTCACATTTAACTATGTGTCTATCAAGAGAATTGAAAATAAAAAAGCATCAAGAAAAGACTAAAAGACCCACAATAATACTTGGTGCCTCTATGTTCCCCCCTCCCCCTTATTTTTGCCCTTCTCTTTTGCCATCTCTTACCACCTTCTCCTAACCCCATCGATAATCCCCTAGTCAGCTCAGGTAGCCAACAACCAACTCCAGCCACAAGGGAGTAAAATGAAATTTGAATAGTAATATAATTAAGCAAAAATTTATGGAATAAGTTATTTGAGATGCAGTCTTAAACAACCACACTAGATAAAGTAACTATAAAACACACCTAAAATTTCCGTTGGGTTGTTTTATTCTAAAATTGTTTGGATAATTTAGTTAGAGAGAAATTTTATTATATTTCCTATTANAGATGGTCAGAATTTGTTGGTGTGATCTATTTCATTGATATTTTGTGTGGATTTTAAAGGGTTGGGTTGTTTTATTCTAAAATTGTTTGGATAATTTAGTTAGAGAGAAATTTTATTATATTTCCTATTAAAAAAAGAAAACCAAGAACATTTTAAGATAAAAGAAAGGTGGTGGAAGGGTTATGTGATCGAATTTGCTTCCTAGATTTATAACCTAAAAGGGTGAATGACAAACTTCTCAAAAATAATTTTATTTTTTGTTACAATAAATTTTTATGTATGCATTTGGTTAGCATGAAAAACTTTTAACAATATGATTGGGTTAAAAATTTCACACAACCCCATGGCCGTATATCAAATGGCATGACAATCCCTTGAAATTTCAAAAATAATATAGAGAAATTGCAAAACACAGCAAAGCAATTGGTCTGGCAATCCAACCCAGTTGTGCAGTGCTTGACGCGAGAAAGAGAGGACACCAGCTCCAATCATGACGGTGATGATATGAGCAATACTGGTCAAGATGGTTCCTGGTGAAGAAATATTAACAAATTAGAGCTATAATTTTTATTATTGAATTTACAAGTAGAATTAAAAAAAAACAGATTAGAGGAATTAATTTGATGGTATTATTAATTTGCATGACAAAAGAAATCATGGTATTAAACGAATACATAGAAAGGTTATAGGTACATATTCATTTTAGACAGTGAAAATATGTTCATTTTAGAAAATGTGTAACCCATTGTATGCAGTCTTATCCTGGATATGGAGATGTTGTTTCCACAACTGAAAAATGTCAAGTTCCACCCTCAATGTATCTTAATTCACAATAAATCAATTTATGCATAGCAAATTGAAAACTTGCCTCAATAAAATCTTAGAGAGAGCAAGAAGGCACAATCTTGGGCGGCTTGTAAAACGAAAGTGTCAAAAACTCCCTCAACTTCTTCAGTATCCACACTCTTTGCAACAATGCTGAAGTGCATNGGTCAGAATTTGTTGGTGTGATCTATTTCATTGATATTTTGTGTGGATTTTAAAGGATTGGGTTGTTTTATTCTAAAATTGTTTGGATAATTTAGTTAGAGAGAAATTTTATTATATTTCCTATTGNAGGGTTGGGTTGTTTTATTCTAAAATTGTTTGGATAATTTAGTTAGAGAGAAATTTTATTATATTTCCTATTAAAAAAAGAAAACCAAGAACATTTTAAGATAAAAGAAAGGTGGTGGAAGGGTTATGTGATCGAATTTGCTTCCTAGATTTATAACCTAAAAGGGTGAATGACAAACTTCTCAAAAATAATTTTATTTTTTGTTACAATAAATTTTTATGTATGCATTTGGTTAGCATGAAAAACTTTTAACAATATGATTGGGTTAAAAATTTCACACAACCCCATGGCCGTATATCAAATGGCATGACAATCCCTTGAAATTTCAAAAATAAAATAGAGAAATTGCAAAACACAGCAAAGCAATTGGTCTGGCAATCCAACCCAGTTGTGCAGTGCTTGACGCGAGAAAAAGAGGACACCAGCTCCAATCATGACGGTGATGATATGAGCAATACTGGTCAAGATGGTTCCTGGTGAAGAAATATTAACAGATTAGAGCTATAATTTTTATTATTGAATTTACAAGT